TTATGCTAGCGCCATCATAATTGATAGCCAAGGTGGCGCAGTGATAGCCAAGGTGGCGCAGTGATAGCCGTGGTGGCGCAGTGGGTAGAGTGCAGTACTGCAGGCCACTTCAGCTGACTGCTAGATCAGCAGTTCAGCGGTTCAAATCTCACTGGCTCAGGGTTGACTCAGCCTTCCATCCTTCCGAGGTGGGTGAAATGAGGACCCAGACTGTGGGAGTGATATGCTGACTCTGTAAACCGCTTAGAGAGGGCTGAAAGCCCTATGAAGCGGTATATAAAAATCTGCTATTGCTATTGCTATTGATGGACAGACTGGCAGTTCTATTGGACATGGGCAACTGTTTTCCTCAATGCAATAATGATTTGTGGCTTGATAGGCAGCCAGAGAGGGAAGGATTTAAAAAGAAATATGTCTCAGTGTATCAGTGGTGGGTTGCAGGAGATACGTCCCGGGACGGGCGTACCGGAGCCTGCCCGGAGCACTGGGTACATTCTGGTACGGTGCTCTGGAGGGCCCGCCCACCCGCCCGAGCCCCTTACCTGTCCTTTAAGCCTTTGGTGCTTCCCTGCACACGCATGAGGCGTACGGCGCCTGCACAACGCTCCGCCGAGCAGCTAGAGCATCAAGGAGGCTTGCGGAAGCATCACAGGCATGTAGGATGCATGTGCATGCCTTGTGCGTCCATGTGGGTGATGCCGGGCCCGTTCCAACCAGTACGGAACCCACCACTTCAGTGTATATGTGTATTTGCAAAGATTTATTCTCTTAGGTGGCATGTTCTGTGCTTTTGGTCCACATTCAGTTTAATCCAGGGGTCAACAGGTGCACAATTAGAACCAGATTTCAGATGATCTCCATGTTATCCGTGGGATTTTGTACTTTAATCAAAGTTAACATCTTTGCCTGACATTTTTTAAAATCGATAAGTCTTGAACCTAATTTTGCTTTACATGACCTTTGCATACTTATTAGTCGGTAAATTGAACTGCCCGGCTAATTAATGTCCCTTACTACTTTCCATAAGGGACGTAGTGGCTCAGTGGCTAAGATGCTGAGCTTGTTGATCAGAAAGGTTGGCCGTTCAGCGGTTTGAATCCCTAGCACCGTCTAACGGAGTGAGCTCCCGTTATTTGTCCCAGCTTCTGTCAACCTAGCATGTAAACATGCAAGTAGAAAAATAGGAACCACTTTTGGTGGGAAGGTAACAGCGTTCCGTGCGCCTTCAGGATTGAGTCATGCCGGCCACATGACCACAGAGATGTCTTCGGACAGTGCTGGCTCTTCAGCTTTTAATCAGAGATTAGCACTGCCCCCTAGAGTCGGGAACAACTGGCACATATGTGCAAGGGGAATCTTTACCTTTTTACCTGTAAATTGGATTGCCCAGCTAATTAATGTCCCTTACTATTTTCCGTAGTGCAGCACATGGCTTCTTTTCAAGCTGCTCGGTTATTTGTGTTAGTTAAAATTGCTAGGTTCATGCAGGGTCCTGAACTTTAGTCCTCATCAAGTTATACCCAAAGCCGAGGATTCCTATTTTCAAGCTACATGAAAATCCCCAGATGTTACACCGTGGTGAGTCTGGCTGACATTCTCATTTGATCGATGTCACACTTTGCTGGGATAATACATCACTCTATGCTGGAGTTTACAACTTGAAGGGGGAAAATAATAACCTTATAGGGAATCCGGCATTACAGATGAAAGGAAAATTATTGTCTGTCTTCGCACACATGATGATTCTGTCAAATATAATGATCACTCTACTTGCAATGCAGCTTGGATGAAATGCAACAAGGCTTAGCTGTTTGGTCATTTTTCTCCCCAAAAGAATTGCAGCTTTTAAAAAAAAAAAATCCTTAATGATGTTATGGTCTTTGCTTTGGCACTTCATTTCAAGAAATGATGTTCCCCTTAAAACTGTCTTTGCCTCCAGTGACATTTATATTGATCAATATCTGAATAGGTTGAATGTTGAATGTTGAATGTTGAA